CTGTTTCTCCAGCAACTCTCAGGAAGACGCCCTTTACTGAGCACTGCTCACTTGCCACACAATGGTTACATTCACATGTAACAAGAACCCAAGTACCTTGGCTTAATAAGCCCTCCTTGTGTGCACAGACCAGTTGTTCCTTCCTTTGTGTGAGCAGATAAACGAATCAGGAAGGGAAGAACTTAGTGGCATGTCTGAACGCAATGCTGTGGTTTATTTCTCCCTAACAAAAATCCATAGGCCAACAACAAACCATGGCTTAAGCTCTTTAGCAATCCTGACTAGATTGAGCCTCCATAGAGGCAGGGAGCTCGCTGCTGCAAACAATCGCCTTCCAACTTGCGGAACACCATGAAAACGGGGTTGGAGTTCGCAGGTTTCTCCCCACTGCCCATCCATGTTGCCCATTTTTGTAACACCTAGGTAAAGGTAAAGGGACCCCATTAGGCCCAGTCGCGGACAACTCTGGGGCTGTGGCGCTCATCTCACTCTATAGGGCGAAGGAGCCTGCGATTGTCCGCAGACAGCTTCTGGGTCATGTGGCCAGCATGACTAAGCCGCTTCTGGCGAACCAGAGCAGCGTACGGAAACGCCGTTTACCTTCCTGCCGGAGCGGTACCTATTTATCTACAGTGGTACCTCGGGTTACATATGCTTCAGGTTACACATGCTTCAGGTTACAGACTCCGCTAACCCAGAAATAGTACCTCGGGTTAAGAACTGTGCTTCAGGATGAGAACAGAAATCGTGCTACGGTGGCGCGGCAGCAACGGGAAGCCCCATTAGCTAAAGTGGTGCTTCAGGTTAAGAACAGTTTCAGGTTAAGAACGGACCTCCAGAACGAATTAAGTACTTAACCCGAGGTACCACTGTACTTGCACTTTGTGCTTTTGAACTGCTAGGTTGGCAGGAGCAGGGACCAAGCAACAGGAGCTCACCCCGTCGCGAGGATTCGAACCACCGACCTTCTGAACGGCAAGCCCTAGGCCTAATGAGGGCTAAAAGGCCCTTGGAATATTGTTAGATGCGAACAGTGTCATATGCTTCAGTTTTCACCACACTACCACAAATGAGTGTCGTGCCAAACATTTCTGGTACTTCCCCTCCAATCGTTCGCCATCACTTAATGCCCAAAGAAATCGCATTCAGAAATTATGAATTTCAGTTGCAGTTGTTGTTCTTGCACTTGCCATATTTTTGAGGTAGCTGGGATGTTCTCATTTGCATCCTGTCTTTCATTCTACAGGCCATCTCCCCTCTAGTCGGCGTTCTGCCATCTTCCTGGATGCCTGAACCTCAGTGGAAGACATCCTAGTGCCTTGCTTTCTTTCTTTTATATTTTATACATTTATTTATGTTTTATACATTCTTTTTTATTTTTAAATTTTGACAAAGTAATAACCATAAATAAATAAGAATAAAAATGTGCACCCCACCACTGAGAACATTCCACTGTAGCCATCCAACCTCCCAAAATTTCAGCTCCTCTTGCGATAGTTTGATCCCTTTCCATTTTAACAGTACAAATTCGACAGACACCCTCCATACCTCCTCAAAACCATTTCTCCTGCATAATCCCCATCTTACCTTAATAGCACATGTTAATTTATCATTAATAGCTACATCCCTCACCTCTTTATACCATTCTACCATTCTATATTCTGCTTGCCCCTTCCACTTCCCTGGGGCTTTTTAAGACCAGGAATTGTGGTCAGTCAAGGAGGCAGCAAAGCAACAGAGAAAAGTTTACCGCCTCACAATAACAAGGTGCCCTCTAAATGCTGCACCCAAAATAATTCTAAAGGGCTCTGAGAATGAGTGTGAAAAGTGGCCGTTCCTTTTGCACAGGAAGAAAACTTTCCAAATACTGGAGGGATAGATATTAGCACAACACTACCATAAGCCTCCTGAGTGTGAGATACCATGATGAAAATGGTGGATCTGCTACACCTCAGAGAAAACCATCAATACAGTGGTACCTTGGTTCTCAAATGCCTTGGTTCTCAAATGCCGAAAACCCAGAAGTAAGTGTTCTGGTTTTCGAACATTTTTCAGAAGCCAAACGTCTGATGCGGCTGTCGGCTATTGTTTCTGGGGCGCCTGCACCAATCAGAAGCTGTGCCTTGGTTTTTGAACAATTTGGAAGTCAAACGGTCTTCTGGAATGGATTAAGTTTGGCACTTTTTTTGCGCTATTTATTTTGCGTTTTGGTTTTTGAGGCTTTTTTGGTTAATTTGTTTTTGTGACTGTGTGGAACCTGGTTCAGCTATTGATTGATTGATTGATTGATTGATTGAGTATGTGACTGTGGAAATGGATTAAAGCCCCCCCCATCCAAACAATAACTATCATCAGTGCAGGAAAGATTTTTTTTTTAATTATCTACAATACTGTCTTATTTATTTTATAGTACAGTACATTGATTATTGCTTTCATTTTATGGATCAATGGTCTCATTAGATAGTAAAATTCATGTTAAATTTCTGTTTTAGGGGGTGTTTTTAAAAGTCTGGAACGGATTATTCCATTTTGCATTACCTTCTATGGGAAAGTGCAGCTTGGTTTTGGAACACTTTGGTTTTGGAATGGACTTCCGGAACGGATGAAGTTTGAGAACCAAGGTACACTGTACTAGAATACAATCATAGAGCTGGAAGGGATCGTGGGGTTCCTTTATCCAACCCCCTGCAAAGAAGGAATATGCAGCTGCCCCATTCAGGGATCGAACCAGCAACCTTGGCGTTATCAGCATCACACTCTAACCAATGGAGCTATCCAGCTGATGCCATATCATTATTGATTACATTTGTTAGTTTCTACAGAAGTCTCAAAGCGACTTAACAGGCTAAAATACAGCATATGAAAACAATTAAAACCAGGCCATTAAAAAAATGTGTAACACAAATACCTAACATGTTTATTCAGTAACATAATAATATTAATATTAATAAGAATAAGTCCTACACACCTCAATAAAATATAAGCATCGCCACAGAGGCTAGCTTAGTTACAAAAGGCCTAACGTGGAAGGCAGCCCATTTCCCATACAGTTGCTTTCAAAGCAACTATCGAGCGTGTGTTTATTTGGCCTAGGGCAGAAGAACGATTTTATTTATGATGGAATCCAATTTTCATGCAGCTACTTGAGAAAAAAAATTATTTTGATACAGGTTAACAAAACTGGGAGGTACCCTTGTTTTAAAATGTACTTAATATATACACAGAAGTATATTTCTTTCAATATAGGGCATAAGTTACTCTATTAAATAGTGAATGCATTGACTGGTTCGAAAACAGTCCTCCATTTAAAAAGTGGCGTGTAAGAAAATGTTAAACCACATTAGATTGCAGTCTTTAATTTTGACTTCGCAAGATCCTCCCCTTTCAAAAAAGGAGAGACCCAAAAAGCATGGGTAGCTCATGTTCGATGGCTGGCTCACGTTAAGAAAAGATTAAGCATAAAAATTCAACGTATTTCCTGCGTGACTACGTTGCTTAAACCAGTTCAAAAATGAACCCACCAAACAAGTATTGCTGCAGCTTGTGGGCCCTGTAAGCAAAAGGTGCTTAAAATAGGTCACACACGTTTAACAACTATACAGTTTTGCTACCGTAGTATGTTGAAGCAGCTAATCTTTTATACTGGTTGTGGGTTTCCTCTCTCTTTTAATATAGCAACTGTCTTTAAATGTTGATTAGCACCCAGAAACAAAAGAACGTTACCATTGGAAGTCATGTTTTGTAGATCTGGGTCTTCTGTGTACTTCGCCCAGTCGGTTAGCGTGCCTTGCTGTTAACCAGAAAGTTGGTGGTTTGAGCCCAACCAGGGATGGCTGTGGGAATGATTCCTACATTGCAGGGGTTTGGAATAGATGACCTTTGTTGTCTCTTCCAACTCTACAATTCTATGGTTCTATGGTGGGATAAGATCCAAAGCTTACTAGCCTTCTGTGCCAATTCTTGGCGTGCTTCAATATTTGTTGTTGTTTAGTCGTTTAGTCATGTCAACTCTTCGTGACCCCATGGACCAGAGCATGCCAGGCACTCCTGTCTTCCACTGCCTCCCACAGTTGGGTCAAACTCATGCTGGTAGCTTCGAGAACACTGTCCAACCATCTCATCCTCTGTCGTCCCCTTTTCCTTGTGCCCTCCATCTTTCCCAACATCAGGGTCTTTTCCAGGGAGTCTTCTCTTCTCGTGAGGTGGCCAAAGTATTGGAGCCTCAGCTTCAGGATCTGTCCTTCCAGTGAGCACTCAGGGCTGATTTCCTTCAGAATGGAAAGGTTTGATCTTCTTGCAGTCCATGGGACTCTCAAGAGTCTCCTCCAGCACCATAATTCAAAAGCATCAATTCTTCGGCAATCAGCCTTCTTTATGGTCCAGCTCTCACTTCCATGCTTCAAGGTAGAGGACTCCTAATGCTGCTAATCATTGCTATTGACTTTCCTGTCTTAGGTACATCTTGCCATCCACACCACCAGTCATGAAATAGCCATGGTGGACCCCCAAATCCCATAATGCAAGTAGCATTTACGTGTGATTGCCCGATTACTGTCAAAACGAAATGTCAAAAAGGAAAGTGCTTAAGCCAGGTGTGGTTTCATTAGGGGGAAAGCATGTTGTTGAAACTGCAGAGGCCAGAGAGGTGTTATCAAAAATTAAAGCAAGTTGTTTAATTAGTGCTATAACACTCTTCCGTTTAAGTGCTGTTGTGCAAATATTTAAATACTTTTAAAATAGACCAAAGATGTATTTTAGTGCTAATGAGAAGATTTATTTAAAAATAAATAAATGGAGTGATAAAATGGCTGAGAGTAAAAGTGGTGATATCTATGTCTAGCTGACACGTTACGGTTGATTCTGAGATCGCACGGAGAAAGACGAGCCGAGAACGACTCACACCTGTCAAGATTGCAATACCATTCCATAAAATAAAATAAAATCTCATTCCCCCCGCCTCCCTGAGAATAGATGGTAGAACCAACAAGGAAACCCAGGATGGCCCTGTAGCAGAATCGGTCAGTGCATCTGTTTGTGAACCAGAAAGTGGTGGTTTGATCCCACCCAGGGATGGCTGTGGGCAGAATTCCTGCATTGCAGGGGGTTGGACTAGATGACCCTTGGATCCCTTTCCAACTCATAATAATAATAATAATAATTTCCCCAGCCACTCTGGGTGGCTCCCAACAGATAAAAACACTATAAAAGCTCAAACATTAAAAACTTCCCTAAACAGGGCTGCCTTCAGATGTCTTCTAAAAGTCAGATAGTTGTTTGTTTCCTTGACACCTGATAGGAGGGTATTCCACAGGGTGGGCACCACTACTGAGACGGCCCTCTGCCTGGTTTCCTGTAGCTTCATTTCTCGCAGTGAGGGAACCACCAGAAGGTCCTCAGCGCTGGACCTCAGTGTCCGGGCTGGACAATAGGGGTGGAGACACTCCTTCAGGTATACAGTGGTACCTCGGGTTACAGACGCTTCAGGTTACAGATGCTTCAGGTTACAGACTCCGCTAACCCAGAAATATTACCTTGGGTTAAGAACTTTGCTTCAGGATGAGAACAGAAATCGCTGAGTGGCGGTGCGGCAGCAGCGGGAGGCCTCATTAGCTAAAGTGGTACTTCAGGTTAAGAACAGTTTCAGGTTAAGACCGGACCTCTGGAACAAATTAAGTTCTTAAACTGTGGTACCACTGTACTGGGCAACTCTACAATACAGTGTAGAGTCTGTCCCTGGAAAATAGGGACTCTTTGGAGGATCTGTAGATGATTGTGTACACCAGAGTGGGGAAAGTGTGGCCCTCTAGCTACATTTGTGTTTGAGGCAAATCTGATGGACTCCAACACCCAATGATGGGAGTTGTGGTCTCAGAGGAAGCAGAAAATCTGTTGCTCGGTGATGGCACACATGCTTTTGAATGCAGAAGGTCCAAGGATTGATATCTGGCCTCTCCAGGCAGGGTTGAGAAAGACTCCTGCGCAAATTTCTGAACAGATATCTCTGCTTGTTGGTGTCACCAGTCTTCTCCAACCTGGTGCCATTCAGACATTTGGACTCCAGGTTCATCATTCCTGCCGTTAGGCCATGTAGGCTGGAACTGATGGGAGGTTGAGTCCAACAACATCTTCTTGTAGTAAGGGTAGCAAAATCGCAGCTAAGCAGCTCAAATCACCCTTCTTTGGTGGCCCTGTATCGGGAAAATTTTTATGTCTGATGTTTTACCATTTTTTATATGCAGAGTGGCTAGGGAAACCCAGTCAGATGGGCAGGGTATAAATAATAAAATTATTTATTATTATCATTATTATTGGACATTAAAACAATGTCCAGACTTCAGCATTCAAAAACTTTACATGCAGAAACTTATAGTTAGAGACAAATGAAATATAATATTTACAGTCACATGCTCATCCAAGCATGGGCTTAGAGTCTCTTCTTCTAACTTCCAAACAACTATATTTTCCTCTTTCTAGAGATCAGCACTCAGCCTTCTGTATCTCTGTTAGGCCATGCCTTGCAGCTCCTATGAGAGATTTCCACTTTTATCTTCTCCTGCAGCTTTGTTCTTTCTTTCAAGCAGGGAAGAAGCATTCCAACACTCTATTCAACTTAGCAGTGTTCACAGTGGATTCCAACACACAGTGGATTATGCTTCACATAAAATGGAGTCTCTCCTTTACTAGGTACCTCCCATGTGACCAACGTTAGCCAATCACACATGAGAACTACTAGAGAACTCCCTAGAATTCAGTTACCATCCAATCAAATTTAAACACATAGTAATGCATATAATGATTTACTATTTCAGTGCATTAAATTACTATACAGTTGTACCTTGGTTGTCGAACGCCTTGGTATTCGGATGTTTTGGCTCCCGAATGCCGCAAACCTGGAAGTGAATGTTCCAGTTTGTGAACGTTTTTCAGAAGTTGAATGTCCAACGTGGCTTCCGATTGAGTGCAGGAAGCTCCTGCAGCCAATCGGAAGCCGCACCTTGGTTTTCAAACATTTCAAACTGACTCCCAGAATGAATTAAGTTCAGGAACCAAGGTACCACTGTACTTAAAACATCTTGGGAGAGACTTGGTTGAGGAGGACTGCTTTTTACAGCAACTGCGGAATGGAAATATGGAATAGAAGCGCTCTTATCAGTTATTTGACATTATTGATAATAGTACCTAGTTAGTAAAGGAAGTGCTTTCACGACCAACTGATTTCAATTACCATTTTTATTTTGGGAGTGGTAATCAATGCCCGTCAGTTCAGCATTGTTATCCCTCAACTCAACCGCCGCATTAAAGCATGAAGACGAAGTTCACAGCCACCCAGTTGCAACCATACTGGTTGCATCTGGACACTTTTCCCTCTCCCTCCCCCACAATAAAAGGAGCGGAGACATCCATCTATGTTTTATTAACAACATGTTGCTAGCTAAATATGCAGTAACCACATGCCCCTGCTAATATGCTCCGGGTAATTGCACCTTTTAGAAAACAGTGCCGTTCAAAATCCACAGCTATTAAAGTAGGCTTCTTCTTTTTTTCAAGGAAAAAAAGAAACACCATCTACAGATTTCCATTAAATACTTTCTGAATGTGGTGGGGTGGAGTGATGCTATTTCACCCCTGTCAGTTTCAGTTACAAAAACATTTGTTCAGTGGACTATCCTTCTGTAACATTAGGATTGTATAATACTCATAGAGAAGCTGCATGTTTGCAATCTCACCCAGTGACCATTCTTTGGCGAGCTAACAGACTAACTATTCAGAAGCAATTTTCTTCAGGCTGAATTTATGTGCTGACCGTAGCAGATCACTTCCCATAATAACCCTTCCCCCCCACCCAGCGTTAAATACAATCTGTCTCCCACTCACTGTAATAATAATGCGCAAATGACTGTAATTTTGCAGACATGAAACGGCCTAAAGTGAAACGTGTCTAAACAGAGGTCGGTTTTGAAAAATCGGAGCTATTAACCAAATAAGTAAAATATATATTGTTTTTTAAAAAAGGAAAATCCAACAGAGGCCTATGTTAGTTCAAGAAGTCCCCCCCCCCCAAGGGACATAAACAGCCAACTACCTTAATTTTGCTTTTCTCGTTAATGTATGGGCCAAGTGTTTGTGGCTAATGAGAGGGAATAGACAAGCTCTGGAGCTGCATGCGAAAGCATGATTAGAACTGCATAGATGTACGAAATGTGTTGACACGTGCCGTTGTAGCTGAAACGTCTTTGGTAGTAGACTTTGTCAATCCAGGATGATGATGTCACCACAGAAAATTTGGTCTGAATGTTGCTTTGGCAAACATTCGTCAGACAAAGAGCTGCCAATGATATAATCTGCTCCAATGACCATGATGTGAAATGGTTCTAATACAGTGGTACCTCGAGTTACATACACTTTAGGTTACAGACGCTTCAGGTTACAGACTCCACTAACCCAGAAATAGTACCTTGGGTTAAGAACTTTGCTTCAGGATGAGAACAGAAATCGTGCTCCGGTGGCAGCGGGAGGCCCCATTAGCTAAAGTGGTGCTTCAGGTTAAGAACAGACCTCCGGAACGAATTAAGTACTTAACCCGAGGTACCACTGTAATAATAAATTCACACTTGGCATACATTGTTTCTCCAATCCTTACAAAGTCTTATAGACCAGTGTAACTACTCCGTGTTGCAAACTGGTTGGGGATGATAGTTCAGTCTTAAAACACAAACCTAACCAGACAAACCAACTCTATGGACTCAAAGCCTCTACAGCTCCCCCCCCCCCCCGGACTGGCTCAGTCCCCCCATATCTTGCCGGCAAGTTGCCCTAGGCTGCGTGGCGACAGGACATCCTCACCACGTCTACTCAAAAGTAAGTCCTAGTGGATTCAATGGGGCTTATCCCCACGTTAGTGGGGTGGGAACTGCAGCCTTAGTCACTGGATTGGAGATGAAATCTTACATTTATTTGGGAATAAACCAGTGCAAACTCAAGTTACCTTCAAGAAAATACGCATTGGATTGTACTGTACGGATATAATCCTATGTACACTCAGTTGGGAGTGAGTCACAGTAAAATCAATGGGGCATGGTGTGTTATCCCATGTTTTTTTTGCCAAATGCATTGTTTCCAAAACTAAGTCTAAAAACTAGCACCACAAAGCCATTCAGAAATAGTTTGCAATGCACAGAACTCGAGTTTATGATTAATGTTTACAGTGCTCTGCGTTTCTCAAATGGTAGCCTCTGCTGCCTGGGTAACACCCACTTTGCAAGCATTTGGTTTTGTTAGCAATGTGCAGTACACTCTGAAATTCTCTGTGTGGGAGGATCTCTGAAGAGATGACACAACAGACTTTATTTACATTGAAACTGCGCGGCTATAAACAGAACTCTTCTAAAGAATTCATCTTCTCGCTCCCAGGAAACAATCCATTTGTAGAGAGGCAAACAGTACAGTTGTTTATTTTTTAAAAATAATTTTTATTGATGATTTTCAATTTTACACATTTCAATAATCATACAAATATGTTAACATTTCAAAACTCAGCTTCCTTTCCCTTTCTTTCTGCGCTTCCTTAATTTATTTTTTAAAATATTTTCTGCATATTCCAAATTATATCATTTATTCATCTACTTTCAATGTATGCTCTTATAAAACTGCAAGTTATTACAATAATCCTGCCCATGCTCTTATCTGTTTACAATTTGTTTGTAAATATTCAATAAACCATTTCCACTCTTTTATAAAAAGTTTGTTATCTTGATTTCTTCCCCACCCCACCCCCCGGTAAGTTTCGCGACAGTACGGTTGTTTAAACTGCTCAAAGAAGTGCGTCCCAAGCTTGGGAACTTCCCAACATAAAATTTACTCTTGTCTTCTCCTCTTCTCAGTCCACCACCAGCCAACAGGTCTGTGAACCAATGCATGAATTTTAATTCATACGTGTGTAGCCCACTGTGTAATGTGTGGCGCTTGTGAGCTGAAATGCTATGCTAACAATGATGTCTGAAGAGGAATAGATCCGAGTATTTCAGTTCTTCCTAAAACTACTTGAAGAATCACCTTCTACTGTTTATTCCTGCCTGGTCCTTCAGATCTTCATCAGAAGTTCTGGTGGTGATCAGGTTCATCCATCTAATGAAGTGAGGCAGGTGGAAACCAGGGGAAAGACCTGTTTGGTGGTGACACCTTGTGTAGGGAATGATCCCAAGTGTCCCAATTTTCTTGGGACAGTTCCGGAATTACAGAAGCTATGCTAGTTTCTGATTTGATCCTGGAATGTCCTGGTTTTCCTGTTTTCCTCCCCTCCATGTCTCAGAGAACAATTAAAAGTGGTGTGTAGTTGCGAAAACTGAGTTTATACTGAAAATAAAATACCTGCACCGAATCAAGGAAACGGTGAAGCTGGCATATGAAGCCCTTCCTAGAATTTTGAAGGAAAAGGTCGCCAGTCCACTTTAAATTGTATAACTGCAACCATACATTTTTAAAGAAACACGTGGACCTTTTATTCCTTTATTGTAAATGGAGCCTTACACTGTCTACAAAGAAGTAAACCCCACAGTATTCAATGGAGCTTACTCCCAGATAACTGTGTAAAGACTGCAATCCTAAGCATTTTTACTCAGAACTAAGTCCCACTCAATTCAATAGGACTTACTCTCTGGTATGTTCCTGATCATTCTCACAGTATCCATTATTATTATTATTATTATTATTGTTATTGCTATATCCCACCTTTTTCATTGACAGGGACTTAAGGCAGCCTACCACTAAATTTTTATTCCATTCCATTTATCTGTGGGAGATGTTGCACATGATCCCTTCCTTCACACATTTTTTCTTTACAACAATCCTGTGAGGTAGGTTCAGTGGAGAGGTTGCACTGGGTTCAAGGTGACTGATGTAGATGTGCCCATGACATCTATGTTTGCAGCAAGATCAAAGGCAGGAGAAGCTTCTTGATGTAGAATAGAACGTCCCTATTGTCATCGGAGAAATGTCGGAGGGTAGGGCATTAGACCTAGATGCGTTCTCTGTTCACACACATACTTTCTTTCACCCAGTCAAGCAAAAGGCATCATCAGAGTTCAAGCACACATTTCAGCTGGGCAAAAATACTCAAGGAGACTGGAGCTGAGGCGGGTGGATAGCTTGGAGAGAGTCCCTAGGCCAGGGGTCAGCAAGGCTTACCGGACATGGGCCATGTTAAATAGTGGGTAGACATAGCAGACGAAGCAGCGATTTCTCCAAAGCAGCTCTTTATTTGTAAGCTAGAACAGAACTGAACAGCAAACAGCTCAGCCGGCCTGCTTTTATAGGCAGCCGGCTGTCAACATTGTAGCAACAACAACCCAGGGTTTCCCGCCTAAAGTAACTGATGTGGACCTGAGTGAAAACTATATACACGATACTCCTGGTGGCCAGGGTGAGAACTTCAATACATAACAGGCCAGATCACTCCCGCAGAGATCCTCCATGGGCCGGACTGGTGCAGTGCAATGCCGGAAATTGCGTCTGCGCATGTCTGCAGCGCCAGAAATCGCTTCTGCATATGCCCAGATGCCGAAAATCGCGCCTGCGCAGAAACGATTTTTGGCATCTGGGCATGCGCAGAAGCAATTTTCAGCACCGCGGACATGCTCAGGCGTGATTTCTGGCATCTGGGCATGTGCAGAAACGATTTCCAGAGCTGCAGAAGAGAGTCCCCGCGCCATGCTTTACTGGTTTAGCGTAGCGTGCGGGGCCTCGCCACATGGGCGGCTCGGTTCTGGGGTGGCTGGTGGGCCAGTTAAACGGCCTCCGTGGACCGCTTCTGGTCCATGGGCCTTAGGTTGCTGACCCTTGCCCTAGGCCCTGAGTGTCACATTTGCTTCCACACTCATATAAGGTTACAATATGCAAAATTGCACTTTAACTTGGGCCAAAAGCTTTATACTCCTCAGGCACAGAACAGGCCAAGCTAAATAAAAATGTGCATAAAAGCTAAAGCTTATTTGCAAAGCCAATCTTGAGTCACTGTGTTTCTTGACCAGAGAAAAATGACTTTAAAATAAAGGCATGTACAGTGGTACCTCTGGTTATGTACTTAATTTGTTCCGGAGGTCCGTTCTTAACCTGAAACTGTTCTTAACCTGAAGCACCACTTTAGCTAATGGAGCCTCCCACGGCTGCTGCGCCGCCGCTGCGCGATTTCTGTTCTCATCCTGAAGCAAAGTTCTTAACCCGAGGTACTATTTCTGGGTTAGCGGAGTCTGTAACCTGAAGCGTATATAACCCGAGGTACCACTGTATTGGTAAATGACTGTCCTTAATTGGCAGACATGGCATGGGTTGTAATCAGCACATTTTAAACCAACAGTTGACTGAGAAATATTCATGAGCAAGGACTGATCACACACACAAAAAATATCAAATTACCGTATTTTTCGCTCTATAAGACGCACTAGACCATAAGACGCACCTAGTTTTTGGAGGAGCAAAACAAGAAAAAAAATATTCTGAATCCCAAAAGCCAGAACAGCAAAAGGGATCGCTGTGCAGCGAAAGCAGCGATCCCTCTTGCTGTTCTGGCTTCTGGGATAGCTGCGCAGCCTGCATTCGCTCCATAACATGCACACACATTTCCCCTTACTTTTTAGGAGGGAAAAAGTGAGTCTTATAGAGCAAAAAATACGGTAGTTTTTAACAAGATTCTAACAATAGTGCAGAAGTGTCCCAGCCATTGTTTTAACCACAAGGGATAATGCAACAATATGTTTGTGGCAGATTAAGCTTGATTAAGCTTTTGAATGGAAAGGGGGAAAATGTAAGGTTTGGATAAGCGAATGTGGTCAGTAATACTAAATGCCCATGTTCTGCACACTTATAAGCCTTTTGAAGTCAATAGGATTTATGAGCATGCAAACTAACTCAAGGCAGTAGCCTTAGTCAAAAGCAATCTTCAGTCAGGCAAATGTTTTCTTTTCAGAACGAGGAGGCTCATGTAACGTTTACTCATCCACAAATTTTTACACTGAGCGCCCTTCTGATGTCCCGATGGAAACACTTAATGCAGCAGCAGGGCTCAATCCATTTATCATTTTGAGCAGTACATTGCAAATTTCATGCTTTAACTTTTGGATAAAATTGTCTTATTATCTGCTCAAATATTCCTTTTTTAGAAATGCAATCTTGGTTCCCACCGGTTAGACGTTAAGAGCGGGGAAAAATCCAAAACAAAACCTTTGCAGCGAGCCTGATGAAACACTGATTAGTATTAACTCGCATGTATATGCTTAATGGTTCCTAATGAATGGCCACAAAACTACCTCCCAATAATCAGGCATTTTAATTATGGCATGGTTTTCCCCCCAGCTCTGCTCAAGCCAGCAGTCCTTTAGGCTGCTGCAGCAAAAGAAGGCATTCTGTACAACGAGGATGGGGGAAGGGCTCTGCAAATGAGTCTCTTTCTAGTTTCCTGATATTGGAAGGCGCTGCTGTTTCAATGCATCCGTGGTTGGCTCTCAATCCAAAGCAAAATGCAATTGTTGATGAGCTGCAGTCGCTGGAAGGAGGTTAAGCGGAGTGATGGGCGGTGGGGGCGGGGTAGCTGGAAAATAATTGTATTCTCACTGATATGTTCACGTGGTCCTTAAGTGCTTTTTTTTTTTGCTATTCCAGTTCAGTGCTCGCGGCAGTAAATCAGCAAGCTGGAAACAAAAGGGTTACAACTCCTTTGCGCAATAAATATCGAACTGTCCTACTTAAGTCATATTGTAAAAATGAGCAGAATATAAAATATGGGGGGTGGGGAGGAGGTTGAGAAAGGGCGATTGGGCTGAATGCGGGTGGGGGAAGGGGACAGGGTCTCTGTTCTCCTTTTTGCAAGCGTCGCTCAAAAGCATTTCTCATCTGTATTATTATTATTTATTATTATTATTATTAAAAGGAGATCCGCAGGCAGCGCCGTGTTGTTGCAAAGATTCATCGAGGGGCCATTCGGAGAAACGAGACGAGATTTTCAATGGCTCCTTGGAAAAAAAAAATCACATAGGGAAGCCATTAGTTGTGGTTTTGCAAACAGCAGCAGCAGCAACAACACACACACACACACACCAATGAGTGGAGGAGTCTCCCTCTTGCTTCCCTGCAGGAGACGCGGCTTGCGCTTCTCCTCACCCGCTTTGCTGCTCCTTTAATTTAAATAAAATGTATAGGCTAATGCCGTAATTGAAATGGGAAACATGATTTGTATCTTGCTGTAGCAGGAGGCTGCCTAGTGGAGCCCCCAGCGCAGCCGGGCGATTGCAAAATACAAGGCTTTTTCTATGTGTGTGTGTGAGCGCGCGCGTGCATTTCTCACCCCCCTCCGGCAGCCGAGAGGAGCAGCTGTCCAATCAGAGAGCCCGGTTTCATAAAAGCTGGCCTCTGATTGGACGGATGGGAAAGGGCATTGGGAACAAAGAAAAGTCCCTTTTCAGGTACAGAGTCTATGCTTGCTTCACACTCTCTGCTTTCTCTGCAGTTCTGATTTCTGCTGCTCGCTGCTTGCAGCTGAGCTGGTTTGTGCAGTGCGCTCTCTCATGTGTGCATGGCGAGAGGCTGTGTGTTTTGCAGGGATTTTTATTTTTTATTTTTTTAATTTTCAAAAAAAATCCTCTTTTTATTTTAAAGGTCCATGACATCTGGTGCTGTTTTCTTCCAACAAACACAACAACAAAAAAACCAAAAACCCATAAATCTTGTTGAAGAAATCTAGCCTCTCTCTTCTTTTTTTTAAATGTTTTTTTCCTCCCAACATAAAAATCGGCTGCAACCAAAACACACTCAATGCAGTTGTAGAAGGAAAAGGTCAACTCGATTCAATACAGACCGTAAGTACGGCTGCGTGGTGTCTCTCGATAGCACTTTAGAGGGGATATATATAAACATATACTGATATATATTTATATATATTCATATGAAAGGGGAGTGTTAAGAAATGTGTGCAACCTGGTGTATTCGGGCTTAGAAATAAAAACCCTCGATCACGGTGAGGAATATTTAGGAGAGGGCTGAAAGCGTCGCACAAATCATCCTTAACGTGCACTGGAAGGGAGGGGTCGCGTTAAATATATTACCTTTTTTCTTGGAGGGGGTGGCTGTTACTGACCAAATAGGGAGAATAAAAATTGACATAATTATGGACCTTTCCTGTTATTCACACCTTCCCCCCTCCAAAAAAAAGAAGATCGGGAAGAGCTTGTGTTAAAATACACAACAAGCTCTCTTCTTTTTGGAGGGGGGAGGGAGATGTCCTTCTCTGTCACATTGGAACAAATGTTTGCAATGCTTAAAACCGGGGCAGCCCGTGTGCTTTTGGCGCAGTGAGCCAGTCAAAAAACAGCCTCCTCTTCCCACCTCCTCCCGTGTAAAAAAGCAAATAAACAAAAACGCAACCCCCAAAACTGCCATGGCCCGATAGAGATCCGCGAAGTGGTTCGTTGCGCTGGCATTTTATTACAATGAAATAAAAATAGATCGCCTTGCAAAGGACCCTCCCCATCCTTGCAGTATTTTTGGGCTTCGTACCTGCAAGCTGTGCCAGCCCTCGAGGGAAAGGGAGAGAAAAATCGACCTTATTTCCAAACCCCCCACCGCATTTCTTTCCTTTTTAAAGACCAGATCAGTATTTTCTTGATACGGTTGTCAACCCCCCCCCTTTTTTTTGTTCTCACGACGACCAATTGAGCCCTTGATCCTCACGTGATGTGAAAAGCTTGAACTGTAACAAAATCGCTCCTTTTAGGTGGTTGGTGGCTCCTTCTCCCTCGCCCATCCCCCGCTCTCCCGCGCCCTCCTCCTCCTTCTTGCCTGCTGCGTTCCTTCCTTCCTTCTTTCTTTCTCGCCTGCCTCTCTCTCTCTTTTTTTTCCACCCTTCCCCCTCCTCGAACATACATGCAACGCTCCGCTTTTCCAATCTCGCCGCAATTCATTACAGCTTTTAGCTTTCCAAGCGCCAGCTAATTAAAAAATACCCAGCCAAGGCGAGGAGGAGGAGGAGGGGAATAAATGAAAACGATGAACCAGGGTTTGCTGGAACGATTCTGAAAAAGAGAGAGAGGGGGGGGGGAAGAAAACACCCCTCTGTCCTGAAAACAAGGTCGCCCATTTTTATATCTCTGGACTCTTAATTACTGAATTACCCACCACATGACTTACTCACGCCTGCAAACACCCAAACCCTGAAAAGCAATTGCAGTCCGATTCCCCACCCCATTTAAACTTTAAATGGTGGGAATATTTTGCTTCCTTCTTTTTTTTTTTGCAAAGGCTCCCTTTGCATCCGCACTCCCACCAAATTTTCTGATAACTGGTTTATCAGGCTCTGCTTTTATTCCCTCCCTTTTCCTCTCTTTCCCTCATCCCTTCCTTCTATCTCTCTCTCTCTCTCTCTCTCTCTCTCTCTCTCCCTCCCTCTTTCCCCCTCAAGTTAGTTCAAGAAGTCAGATCTGTCAGGACGGGAGGGGGGGGGGGAAATGCCACTTCCCGACTAACAGGCGGAATCCAGCCCAGATTTTCAGTCCTCTCTTTGCCCCCCTCCCTCTCTTTCACTAATTTTCCCCGATGTTAGCACATTCTGCCTTGTAACAACCCGGACGCCTGTAGGTTTCTTTCATGGGATCATTACTTACTGATCAGGATGGCTGCAGAATCTGGAACTGAAGACGGGATGTGAAGTTGGAGGAAAACAATTTTGCAACCTTTTTAATTTTTTCTTTTTGCTACAATCACATCATCTTGGTGCTTTGCTCGAGCAAAGGAGGGGAGAAAAGGATTTTTCTTTTTTCTTTTTTTAGGGGGGTGCTTGAGGGCTTCTGATGTTGTGAATGTGAAATGCTACCTTGCAAGCCTGTGAAGTTGTGAGCAACCAAATATTTTAAGGAGGAAAAAAACACCAAATCTCCAAAGAAAAGGTGGTGGTAGTTTTGTGTGTGTGTGTGTGCGCGGGGGGGGGGGGACCTCTGTTTTCCCCCTCATTGCCAAAGTGGAAATATGTTCCTCGACGATTACTCTGGCAGAAATGTTACTTTGGTTTCTTCTACGTGATCACTCGCTTTTTTAAGCAAAATGAAATGGGGGAGCTGACTTTTTTGCTGAGACCAGTGAGGAGAGAATTTTGATTTGCTGGCTTAATTTTTTTTTAATAAAAAAAAATGATAAAGGATTAAAGGTAAGCAATGTACGTAATATGTATGTAAATATTTGGACACTCAGCCATTGGAAATGGGCAGATTCCTTTGAAAATAATTTTAGCTGAGCTGTGTCAAACACACACTCATTTGCGGTTAGAGGCCGCCTTGGAAGTAGATCATTTAAAGTGTATGTCTTAATCAGTTTCCTGTACAGTCAGTAATACTATATTTAACAGATGGAGCCGTGGGTGACCTAAGACGACATTAGGACCACTTTTAGAAATGTTATCTTCTGTGCATTTTAAACAGAAATGGTGCATTCACCTTCCCTCAGGTAAACAAAAAAAGGCTAAAATGAATATGCACTTTCATTGGCTCTTTTTGTGTGTGTCAGTAACCTCCTCCGTCCCCGCCTCCCTCACAGAAACAAGATAATCTAATCTAGAGAAAAGTCACAAAACTTGAAGGGGGCTGGTTTAAAATAACAAAATTTTTGGAATGCATTTTGGGAGGGAAGCTGCTCTCTCTCTCTTTGTGCCTAAGTGATCCAGAATCACATTCACTGCTTGGTATTTTTTGTGTGGATTTAAATCTGTCAACTTTAAAAGGGTTTTGTGTTTTTTTGCTGTGGTTTTTGTTTTTGGTACATGCCGTTTTAAAGATTGATCTTGGATGATGGGATGCAACTCTAGGGAAGATGCTCATTATCAAAGGCTTCAGTTTATCAGACCTCTTTAAAATTAATATATGGAGTGTCTTTTCTGTCTCCCTTGCCTCTATATTTTTAATTTTATTATATTCTGGTAACACCCAGCCAAGAAATATTCGACTTTTCCCCTTCCTCGCAGGAAAAGGTGGACCTGGACTTCAGGGTATCTACCCAAATATACCTGGGGAAGGAAAGCGAGAAGAATTACATTTTAAAAAGGCCCACGGAGATAAACGAATGTCCCCTCATCTCCAAAGGAAAGTTCGTCTGATTTTTACTCCAGAGGTCTCATATTCAGGATGTCATTGAACACTTCCGCTGCTGGCAAAGGTGTGGATCCAAACACGGTTGATGCTTATGACAGTGGTGATGACTGGGAAATTGGGGTTGGGAATTTAATCATTGATTTGGATGCTGATTTGGAGAAGGACAGACAGAAATTTGAGATGAATAATTCCTCGAGTTCCAAGGATTGTGGGGGTCTCGCTTCCAGTGGGGTGAACGCTACCTCCGCCTTAGCTGATGGCCTAAAATTTGCTTCCGTCCAGCCCCCTGCCCCGCAGGGGAATTCTTCACACAAAGAACCGAGCAAATCAAAAGTGAAAAGGAGTAAAACTTCGAAGGATGCTAGTAAATCTCTGCCTTCTTCTGCCTTGTATGGGATTCCTGAAATCAGCAGCGCTGGCAAGAGGCAGGAAGCCCAAGGGCGCTCAGGCGAGGCGCCTGGCATGAATTCAGCGCTGGGTCAAAGTGTGAGCGCCAACTCAAATGGCAATAACAACACCAGCAGCAGCAACAACAACAACGGCAGCGGCAGCGCTATTGCTTCCTGTGGGAAAAATAATAAAGAGGAGAAGGCAGGTAAAGCCCAGGGCAGCAGAGGCTCCAAGCGGGATAAGGATGGAGGAAAATCCAGGAAGGACAAGCAACTTGACCTGCAGCAGGGACACAACAACAACAACAACAACGGGAGCCAACCTCCCCCTGGGCACTTGTATGGCTTTGGGACCAAGGGAGGTGGCGTTGGGAGCAACGGCCCTTTCAACTGCGCCGCCTCCGCCGTGGGGGATGTGAGCAAAAGCGCCCCAGATTCAGGGTTAATGGGGAACTCTCTCTTGGTAAAGAAAGAAGAGGAGGAGGAGGAAAGCCACAGGAGAATCAAGAAGCTGAAAACAGAAAAGGTAAGACCATGTGCTTTCCCGCCCCTTCCTTGTTGTTTGATGAAACTTCCCACAAGTCTTGCCCAGCTTCTTGCGCTGTTTGCAGATAACATTTCAAACTCCCTTTCTTGGTTTTCACCCAGCCACCTCTTGGCACCCTGGAGTAAATCTTACCTGTTTGAGGTTTGTTTGGGTATTTTTGTTGTTGTTGTTTCTGGGGGAAATACCAATGCATTGTGGTTCTTAATTTGTTTTGGCTTCGGCGTTTGTTAATCTTGATGTTTGAAATTGCATATCTGTTGTGTGTTTTTCATTGCCTACACTCAAAGGGGGAAAAAGTGGTGGTGTCCCTTCTGCTCAGGTGTCGAGAAATTCCTACCCCCACAACAGCAACAAAGGCTACAGAGCAGATATTGGAATCTTCTAAGGCCATGGGTTTGAAGAATAATCCCAAAGTGTTATTGTATTTTTGTTTTTTGGGGAGGTGGAATAATAAGGTGGAGAGTCACTGCTGCTCCTACCAAAGCCAGGAAGCCCTACATAATTCAGAAACTGCCATGAGGAGTGCTTTGTCAGCAGGCATGTGGTGTGCGGATAACCTGTTTGGAAGGAGGGCAGTGGGGGAGGGAGTCCGCACTATACCCAGATCTATGTGTGCAAAACCCTCTTTTCCAAATATAGGAAAACATGTTGTCCTCTGCCCAGCAGTCTCCTTCTCTTATCTCTTCTCTCCACATGAAGGAGTTCCTTCATGTGAGCTGCCTGTTTGTTGAGTCGTTGAAAAATGTGTGTGTGTTTTTCTCCCTCCCCACTGAAGTCTGAAGGATGTTCTCTGCGAAGGATAAATGGCTTTGCATTGTGAAGGGAGGTGGAGGGGACTGGTTTCTCTGGCCTATTGTTATTGCTCACTGGGGCAGCGTTTGGTGTAAGCAAGAATTGTTCTGCATCCAGAGGACAGAAGGTTCCTTTGTCATCTAGGGAGCTATTGTTGGCTTATAATTAAGAGTCAAATTAATTCTACAGGTTGCTTAAACAAAGACAACCCCTCCCCAACCCCCCACCCCTGCTCCCCACTCAAGAAAGAGCCCTGCTGGGTAATAGCTGGCGACATGATTGCACACAATCATTCAGACATTATTCCCATTTCAAGTTTCAGAGCTGGAGAACTTTCTGCGTTGAGTGCACAAAAGTTGTGTACAGGTGTTCAGGAGCGCTGGCTGCGTTGGGCCAGGTCTGTGACTCTTGTGCGGCGCATAATTCTCGAGTGAATCCTGTGCTTGTTAATTCCCCCCCCCACACACATCCCTAAGACATGCTCAAAATGATCTCGCTGTAGCAAATGCCTGTTTGATTTTTTTTTTGCAAATTACAGCTTGGACAAGATCCCATTTGCCTGCAACGTAATCTGCACAGCCTTCTCTCTCTCTCTCTCTCTCTCTCTCTCTCTCTCTCTCTCTCATTTAGAGTGTTGAGTTCTGGTTGTGTCCTCCTTCTTCGCTTGCAAACATGGCTCTGAATGGTCTCTGTGTAATTCTTTCCTAGCTGCAGATGTGTGGGGAGTTTGGGGGGAGAGAGAGAGAGAGACCCAGATTGGTTGACTTCCTAAAGTATAAAGTGCAGTCTGTGTTCTGGCTTAGTGAAATGCTTCTGCTGTGCTCTGAAAGCTGCCCTAAAATCTCAGGCTCCAGTGTTGTTGTGTGTGTGTTTTTTTATTAACTCAGTACAGTAGGCACTTGCTTTTGTTGCCAATAGCCTTCAAATTGCAGTTCTCTAATCTGCTTTAACTATCTAGATAAATTGCCCTAATCCAGTCTTCACAATGCTTGTGGTTAAAGAGTCAGAGCCATTTGATTGGATTCAGTGGATGGCTGGAATGTGGGAGGTTCTGCCCTTTCCTAACCTCCTTAGCCTTTTAATCTTTCAGCCAAATGTTCACATTCAACAATTTTGTTTAGCTGGCAATCTGAACATTTCAGTATCTCAAAGGCTGCTGTCATGGCAACAAGAGATTAGACAGTGGTGTGGTTTTCTCCCTCCCTCCCTCCTTCCCACCCACCCACCCCCCTTGTGTGTGTGTTCCTTTTCATTCCAGTCACACAGGAAATTATATGAGGAATGAATTCATATACAAGCAAAGTACATTTCAGCCAGTGTAATGTAAATGAGGTAATGTGTAAACTAGGAACAAACCTGTCTGGAGGAGCTTTTTCCCCCCTCTCTCTCTCCAAAGGAGCACTTCTTATTTCAGCACTTGCCTTTATAGAATCGGTGGAGTTTGAATTACCAGTAACACCCACTGCTGTTGGCTCAAACTGACTTTAATGACTTCACTTGTTAGAGCCCTGCAGTGCTGCCCCATTGTCTGCCACACTGGTGTGTTGGCTTACTGTCTAAAAGCATCCTTCAGGTTTTTACTTCGGGGAGAAATTCCTTTCAATCAAATATTATGTGTCTGAATGTGAAACCTTGCTGCAAAAGGATGTGGCACTTTGTGGTGCTGTTTCCTTCTCCTCCCCTTTCTCTCTCTCTCTCTCTTTTAAAAAAGATAACCAAGCATAGTCCTTGCCGAGGAAAAAGAAGAAGATATATTTGGGGAATTAAAATCGAATCTTTCCTCTGTCCAAAGATGTAGTAGATACGTGACCAGCACACAAATAGCATCCCTTTAGGACTTGGCATGGATTTTCCAGCAGTGGGTGGCTGAATCAATTTCCACACTTAAACTGGCATCTCCCTTTAAATAGGTTCTCAAATTTATTAATAACTGAATATTCAAAACCTTTGTCTTCTTGTCTGTGACAGCTCTTAGCTCTCTAAAAAGCAACAGCCACAACATGGAAAGCTGAGAGCAGATTCCCAAGAGGCACAATTGCTATTTAATTTTAACGTTTTGCTTAAAGAGTCTATTTGGGGGGTTTGCTTCTTCTGTTTCTGTACTGCAGAAAGTCACACAAAATCACGCCCAACTGAATCCAGTGAGTGTCTTCCTCTCTCCTCTTAAGAGATGCCACTCCCTTGATGTGTAGGTAGAAGATGTGAGTATCTTGGAATTTAAAAACGTCTGAGGTTACATATTTGTTCAGCCCATTGGGTGGTTAACACACCACCGATGTGTAAATAAGTAAAACAATGGGAAAGGTTTGAGTGTCTAGTTGTGACAGGTAGGCCAAATACTCATGTCAGTCTTGGAATGTTAAAATCTGGCCCCTTTCATCATTGCCAAATTTCTAGGAAGTTACAGAAATTGCCAATCAGCATGAGTGCCCCTTTCTTTTATGGTTTATCAATTTCTGCTGCTGTTACCCTGTGAAAATTTTAAGTAGTCTTCAAGAACGTCCCATTTGATTTATATGCTGTGTGTGCAATAATTGTTCATTGTGCACGTTTACCAAAACTGGTACAGTGTGTGTATAAAACAAACACACACCCTTAGCCTATTAACATGCAATTGCTAGCGGCTGATTATTGTGGCCAGCTTTTTGCATTTTCTGTACCGTCATGGGACACTTGACACGTTTTTCTTAAGAATATGTTTTGACTTAACGGCCTGGTTCGCACGTCATATTAAACCACAGTCAGCATTAAACTATGGTATAATCTGAACCAGCTAATGTACAGTTCTCCAAAGTCGTCCTCTCTCGCTCCTAGAGCAATGAACCACAAGTTTTCTGCTCCAGGCGGTCACAAGTGGTAGGCAAAGTTTCCTCTCTTCTTACTGCTTGCAATTTGTTTTTTTGGGGGGGCAAACCCAAAAGCCCAGGTTAGGGCAACACAACATTCTTGGGCGTCTTGGTTGGGTTGGTACCTCCAAGCACATCGCAGCCAGGAGCAAAACTCTGTGCACACCAGCAGCTTTAACGTGATGTGCAAACGCTAGCCTATGAGTTTATGAAGATGTGTGTGTTTTAATATGTCGGCTAATGCTGCTGTTTAGGGGCCATTTATTCACTGCCGGGAGAAGCAAAGGGCAGAAAGGTCACTGGTTGTAATTAAAGAACAAAGTCCATTGTTGCTGGACAGCAAACTGTTTTGAAAGCTACATAAGGGATTTAGCTGTCGAAAACATTGATAACTCTTGGGCGCTTCATAATCAGCCCTGCTCCGGGTTCTT